TTTTAATGTATTTAGTACAGGGTCTACAGGGTCTCACTGTACAGACTGGACTCATAGCGATCCTCCTGTTTTTTCAGCCTCCCAAGCATTGGGATTACAGACATATGCCAACATGACTAGTCTTATCTCCTTATATTTCATGAACTTTAAATGTGAACCTGGCTTATTGCATAGTTCTTCAGGGAACTTTTGCTTAAACGTTACATGAACATGGCTTTATAATTTTAAATTAAAATTCTAATAATATTGATTTCAAATAAAAACTGAAATATCATCAAAGTTAACAGTGATGAAATCAACGGACATGAAAGACCGGAGAACCTCTGAAAATTCTGATGAACCACAAGAGTCAATGTTTTATATAACAATAAATCCTATAAAGTGCTATCGTACCAAGGTAACCAACACTGGAGAAATTTTCCAACAGAAATGACACCAACTTATTTTGAAAGTGAAATTTATGGCTTCCATCTAAAGCCTTGTTATACCAACATGTGAAAAGATAGTGATTTCAAAATTACAATATATATACAATATTTCTGTAGTAGAATGCTCATACACTTGACAGGAATGTGAACTGGCAAAGCCTTTTTAAAAAGAACCTTAGAACATATAGAAAACCTTAGTGTCTATAATCTTTGATACAGCAATTCCACTGTCATATTTATTTTCTGTAGTACTTTTACAATTTCCCAGAGATACCTAGTGAAGGGTGGTGAAGGTGAAATTATTTTTAATAATGAAAAAGTGGAAATAGACTAAATATCCATCAAGAGGAAACAGGCTAAGTAACCTAGGACAGAATTATTTGACCTATCGGAGGTTCACTCAGAAGAATATAATAAATTTGTATATATTAATCTCAAAAGCTGCCCATGATTTAGTTCTAGCAAAGAAGGGGGCAGGTGGTGAAAAGTATGGATATAGGAGGTTATCTATGCAAAAGTTAAAACACACACACACACACACACACACACACACACACATATATATATATATATATATATATTTTTTTTTTTACATTCTTTTCTTTCTCCCTTCACTGTTTAAAATTTCATTTTTTAAGAGCAGTTTTATGTTCACAGCAAAAGTGAGTATAGTCTCTGGCCCAACATATATAATTTATTGCTTAAAATAGAATAGGCTGCATTCGGAAATTCTCTGAAAGGATAAACAGAGTATTTTTAACAAAAGCTTCTTCTAGAGGTTGGAATTGTAAAAATTAAGGTAGCAAGAATTTTTTCTTTCTAGCATAAAGGATTTATTTCAATAAAAGCAAAATAATTAATAAGCAAATTCACCCATTTCACAAAATAATTTAAAAATGCATATTTCAGTGGTACATTAATGGTGCCTAAAGCGATTATATTGCTTTTCTTGAACACTTGGTAAATAAAATGGGCTCTGCAGGAATTAAGGTTTGTATTTGTTATTCTACTTAAAACAGGATAAAGCTATAAAAGGAGAATGAACATGTTACAGTGTACTTGGAACACGCATGCTTTGCGTTCCTTTACATCATATTGTCATAATTTCAAAGTACATTAGCAAAACATGATGCGCCTTAAGGCATGGCCTTGCACACGGGCAAAGGCCTTCTCAATGCTCATCTAATTCTTCTACTGCCATCAACACGGAAGAGGAAAAAGGTGCAAAAGCAGCCCCGTAAAAAGGCAAAGCCACGGCCCCCACTAAATCTCAAGTAAATCCTCTGAAGTAGAAATAAGAAGTGTACAGAGGGGGGAAAGAAACAACTCTCTAACGGCCAATTGAAGAAAAAGTATGATTCTACCTGATGTAAATATTCTTTCATTCCTTATCAAACTAAGCCTCAACGGTCCCGTTCAGAATCCAACCCAGGATTCTCTTCTTTTTCCCTAAAGAAATACAACGAATGTAAAGTGGAAGTTACCTTAAGTCTATCCACTTCTTCCAAGGCGTCATCTCGTTCACACTTCAGTTTTGCTACGTCATCTGCTTCTAAAGGATCACAGGGAAGAAGCTGTCAACATTAAAATATGAGATAAAAGTTCTGTGTTAGATGCTTATGGTAACAATATGGGGATCTTTTCTGCCTAGTCTCAGGCTTGTGTACGCTAATTTTCTTATTAGAATACGTTCTAATGATTGGTTTCTATTCTATTATTAGTTTCTTGCTTTGGAAATGATTCTACACAAAATAGAGTATTGCTGTAATCTGGGACATTGTTATTCATTTAGCTTATTCTTGCCTGGGTGCTAATTACAACAGAATTCAGGGGACTAAAAGATATACGTTATTCTGTTGTCATCTCTATGATTCTTATTTTACCAATATAATTTTCCTTAAAGGTCTATATTTCATGATTTTGTTTACAATGCCAAATAGACACTGAGAGTTATCAATATAAAACATTCTCTAAACACATTGATTCCATGAGCTAATAAGATGCTGTGTATTATCAATTAGGCGGAGTTAAGCATAAATAATTCTGCATCTGGTTTTAACCAATGCAGGTAACCCAACAGGCAAGTGGATCAAAAATATTCCCATACAGAAACTATGAGTGGAAAATAATATTAATAATTCATTCACAAGTAATACTAACAGAATAGTAGAAACTATAATTTCTCTTACATTTAGCATGATCTCCTTGACAGATGATTGCAAGTGTAAAAACAAATCTAATCAGAGGTAAAAATCCTAGCTCACTTAAAGCTTCTTTTCTAGTTTAATTATTTTTCTATAGGAGTTATTTTTCTATAGGTACTATAATACAACTAAAAACAATGATAGAAATATAAAGGATGAAGGGGAGGAAGACACTGTTAGGTGTTGGTTTCAAGAAAGATCTTTTAGCCAGGAGAGGCAAATGTAGAGGAAGAGTAGGTAGTCAAATTATTGACGATATTAAACATCTACTATAAACTTACAATGTGCAAATATATTGCTAAGGGGGTATATATACCCATATCCTTACTGCCATTTTTTCTTATTTTTGTCTTTTTAAAACAGAGTCTCTCTGTATAGTTCAGACTAGTCTTAAGCTCACTTCGTAGCCCAGGCTGGTCTCGAACTCACAATGATCCTTCTGCCTCAGCCACCCAAATGCTGGGATTACAAGTGTGTGCCACCTTGCCCTGCTCTTTCTGCCATTTTATAGAAGACTTTAGGGATGGGGACACAGCTTGGTGGTCTAAGCGCTTGCCTGGCAAGTGCAAAGGCCCAGGTTCAATCACCCATACCACGGTCTGCACCAGCCCCACTAGGTGCCAGCCACTGAAACCGGGCATGGTGGTGTACGCCTGTAATTCCAGCACTGGGAAGGATGAGATAGGAGGATCACTATGAGTCTGAGTTGTGTAGCTAGACCCTGTGCCACATAAACACGCTGAAAAGAAAAGAAAACTTCATTGCCATTTTATAGAAATGCAAACACTGGGCATGGTGGCACATACCTGTAATCCCAGCATTTGGGAGGGTGAGGCAGGAAGATTCTTGTGAGTTTGAGGCCAGCCTAGACTACAAAGTGAGTTTAAGGCCAGTCTGACTGCATATTGAAAATCTGTCTTGAAAAAAAAAAAAAAGAAGAAAAGAGAGAAAGCAAAAGAAAAGAGACATCTAAGGTTCCACAGCCCATACATGGTAATTTCAAGATTCCCACAGCAGTCTGACACACTGTGTAACTTTCAATATCCAAAAAAATCACAGAACAGAAATGCCAAACTCACCTTTGCATCATAAACCCAAGAATAATAGAAGCAGTAGGGTTTTTTTTCCCCCCAAACATAACTGATTCTTTTTATCCTGCCTCATTTATATTTGGTATCTTTGGCCACTGTATATAACTGATGTTATCTCATATTCTTCATCTAACTCCATTGCTCTATTTTCTTAGGAGTTCTCAATACCTCAGTATGCCACCAGAATCCATTCCTATACTGTTTCACATTAGTTTATTTTTTATTTGATACAGGGTCTCGCTATGCAGCTCAGACTCATAGTGATCCTTCTGTCTCAGCCTCCCAAGTGGTGGAATTGCAAGTGTGCACCAAGACTCCTGCTTTTGGGCCAGCACCGTGTGCCTGGGATTCCAGGGCCAGCATGCATGCGGTACCAGGGATTGAACTCAGGTCTTCTCAGGCAAGCACGCTTGCCAGGCAAGTGCTTAAGCCTCTGAGCTAGCTCCCCAGCCCCATTTCAGATTAGTTTTAAACATATTTTCAAATGTAACACTATTTCCAAGGTGTGCTCCAGAGAATATAAACTAATATTATGTAAAATTAAAATTGGGTGGCAGTGGTATTAGAAAAACAAAGCAAAACAAAACAACAACAACAACAAAACCCTTCTGTCCTACATTGCTTTTGCTAGTCCTGATATTCTAATGAGTACATGAATTTACCTAAAGTAGGTACAATAACTTGTCACATCTTACCAGTAATTTGACCATATAACAACTCCTGCACCTCCAACCCTATGGCCTTTTAGTTTATATTATCTTATGTTTACACAACTAATGTCTGTCTACCCAGCATAATCTAGGAACCAGGTACTCGAGATTCCTTATAGGCTTAGTTCTTATTTTAAGAAGTAAAATAAGAGGATTCAACAATTTAAATAAAATTTTGGATAACAGAGTTATGACAATTTATGTCTTTATTTACTTGGTGCAGGGTCTCGCTACACAGCTCGGACTCAGTGATCTTCCTGTCTCAACCTCTCCAGTGCTGGGATTACAGGTATGTACCACCACGCCTGGTTTTGGTGACCAGCACAGCACACCCAGGGTTCTGGGGTCAGCACGGCATGAAGTACCAGGGATCAAACCTGGGTCCTTGCACTTTAGACCACCACGCTATCTCCCCAACCTATGACTGTTTACTAAGAGAAATTGTGGGTTGAGATTTTAGAGATAAAGAGAAAAAATTTTGGAGTTTAACATCATAGAAGCATATCATGCATAAAAGACTCCATTTGGGGATTTGAAATGCTAGACCATATAGTCCCAGGAAAAACCAAGACTTAAAAGATTTATAGTCATATTGCTATTTTGGAATACTCAGCAAAAAGCTACAGCCAGAGAATTAGAAATAAGTATTACTTGTTACCTGTTTGAAAAGCCCCTTTATGTTTCCTGATATCTTATAAAGTTCTATCAAAATACATTTCCACTAAGCAAGCGGCAAATGAAAAGAATCACTGCTACTGGACAGACGCTTGTCCCCAAGTCTGTCCCCCACCACTTTCCTCCAGGAGATGCTAAGATGGCTGAACTATGTTGACCAGGTGTGACCTTGCCTGTCCTTCACTGTTGCTCCGACTTTATCATTTTACTTTTAATTCCTTTCCCTGCTGGATAGCTACTAGCCCATCATCCATCTTCCCTAACTTCAATTCATCCAATAGCATAAAACAATAACCTTTGTTTCAGTCGAATTTTATTGGTAAGTCTTTCCACTAGGGAACTATTCAATCACACCCTTTCCTTAGGAACCTCTGTGTGACTGCGTCATTGTACTCACCTAAACACTTCCTGTATCCCATCTTCTCCTCCTATTTTCCTGCTCACTTTTTTAAATTTTTTTTTT